GTGAAGACCATGGATCTCCAATCGGTGACGGACATGCTACTTTGGGGTACAACTCTGGGGCTTTCCCTGAAGAGTTGGGAGAGAGATGAAAATGACCATGATGAGGATTCCCCATTTACAGGAAAAGGAGGCTTACGGAGGTTTAAGTAAAGCACCCGAGGAGCTGAGCAGTGGTGACGCTGGGTCTCGCTGGGTCTGTACAACCACCGAACCCATTGTTTCATGCTTCAGCACACCAAAAGTCCTACTCGGACAGTAGTAAGGATTCAGCACAGACAAGCTCAGGCCCTATGGCTTCAATAGGTTAATAGCTCCCCAACCAAAGGTCATCCGATCGTCGTGCCTGACCGGCCCAGACGCTGCAGCCACATGGGAAGAGCTCGCGAGCCGTCAGACTTGAGTGTGTATGCGCACGTGTGTGCGTCAGTGTGCACGCGTGTAAGATGGAAAGTGGTTGGGGGTGGGGGGGAATACAAATATACATCAGCGTTCTTGGGCTCTAGTTCAAAACTATTCTCTGAAGTGCTGAAGAGCTGGTTTGTTTCAGAACGCTAATGCATTTTGGAAAAGAAAAAAAGAATTTTTTAAAAGCAAATCACCTCTCATCCTCTTTCTTCATTCACAGGGCCAGCAAAGTGGTATTTCTGGCAGGGGCTAGAGGCAGAAATACTCTATAAATACAAAGCCATTAAATCTCATGCAGCGGGAACCTGATCGGAGCCTCCTTTTAATTTCCTGACATGAGCTGGCCACTAACCCAATTACCCAGAATCCCCGCAGGAGCCCTCCGCCCGCCCAACAAGCACAAAGACAGTGAGAGCATATTGCACGGATGTCAGCCCAGCTTTCACTGAAATCAAATATCTTTTAGAAAACACTTGGGGAAAGGGGGGCAGGGGCCAAGGGAGGAGGAAAGGGAGCAGGACAGGGAGGCTGCCTGCCTGAGGCAGGTGAAGTGAGGTGAGGAGAAGTAAACCAGCAGGACCAGCCTTCGAGGGGGGGCTGCTAGAAGCCTGGAGCTGTACTAAATGAAGCCTGAGGGCTCCCTGAGAAAACCAGCGAGCAGTTTTCCAGGCTCTTCCAGGCTCTTCCGCTGAGAGGCTGTCAGGCCACACTGCAGCCGGGCCAGTTAGCCCGTCTCTCAGGGGAGAGCTTCTCCAGGGGTGTCCCAAGGGAGATGCTCATCCTGACTTTCGACCCCAGACAGGGACAGCCCTGATGGGTACCACCTCTGAGATTCCCACCAGGGGATCCAAGAGGAAGATCGGGGCAGCCAGGGTGCCCGAGAGGTAACATCTTACAGCAGTCCCACAGCGGGTTTCACCGAGGAGCTGTTCCAGCTGGGCTGCTCCCCTAACTCCACGGCCCTACAGGTGACAACACGGAGGCCCAGGAGCATGTGGAACCACACGCATGGCGAGATCCCGTCAGGGCCAGGAGGAGGGCGCAGGCACCAACTCCCAACCTAGTGTGGATTTTGTAGTCAACGTTTTATGAAAAGAAAAATCTCTTTTTTTCCCCTCTGAAAATATAGACTTTCACACGCTGGATTTGCTTTAAGCGAGACAGACCCACGGGCATCACCTACATTGCTCAGTCAATGATTCCAGAGCCTACGGCAGCCTCAAGGCAGAGGCTGAGCCAAAGGAAGCCATGTGACCAGATATCTTCCCCCCACCCCCAGCGCCCGAGGTTGCTGGCCCCCTCCCCCATCATGAAACACTCTTGGGCTGTTTTACTTGAGAAAAGAAAACCTGTAAGAGACTTCTGGAGCTGCTGGGCAGAAGGCAGGAAACAGCCTTCAGATGTGTAGGTGGGATGGGGAGGAAGGGGAGCTGGCATTCCCATCCTTTCCCCGGCCTCCCGTCACCCCCATAGCCATGTGCCAGACCCAGGACCCGGGCCCCCAGTCCCCCGTTCCTCCGCCCACTGTGGAAGCTTGCGGAGGAGCAGCAGCTTCTGGGAAGACTCGAGTCTGCCTTTCAGAGTCAGGTCAGCGTAAGGGAAGCAGAGAGCCCGCGCCTGTCCCAGGGGCCTGGGCTCCTGCTCACCAAGTGGTGGGGGGACAACCAAACAAAAGCAGGAGCCAGGGAGGCTGCCAAGAGCCCCTGCCTGGCAGGGACCCAGGCGCCTCAATGAGGCAAGCTCCTAAGGGGGATGGTCCCCATGGAGCTTCTGATTGCAGGATCCCGCCAAGGCTCAGCATTGCAGGGGGTGGTGGGGGGCTGGGGAGAAACTAAATGGAGGCGCTGGGCTTTGTCCACACTCAGGTGCCTTGTGTCACCCTGCCCCCTCTGGATTTGGAACTGCCAGCTCTGGGGGAGGGTGGAGGTGGGTTGAGTGCCCCCTCCTCCTCCTTTAGGAAGTGCTCCAGAAAGGGCCTCACCAGGCTGGGGCCCAGGCAGTTTACCTCAGCACACCTGCCGAACTCCTGCCAGCAGTCTCAGATGCCCCTGGCTGGCACCTAAGAGAGAGGCCGTCCCGCACCCTTTCCTGCAACCGAGTCCTAGGCCAAACACAGGGCTACTTGGAGCAGAGGGAGGCCATGGTGGGGGCCCACCGTGCCCGTCTTCCCAAGGCAGAGTTTCTGTCAGGCCCACGTGCCCCGAGTACCCCACACTGTGGTCCGGGGACACAGAGTATCTGCTTGGCTTCTCTGTAGCGGCCCACCGGGCACCTGAGCTGCCTTTGCCTCCAGTGTGCACTTGGCCACACGCACTTCTCTGCCACCAGTGGGTCCCCCTTGTCATCCCCCCATTCTGGGGGGCCACTAGGAGGCACTCCCACTCTCTTCCCAGTACTGGGGAGTCCCTAAGGAGAGTCTTCGTCAGACACTGTCTTTAGAAAACGTCAGGGATTTCAAGTGGCGGTCCTCTCATTTTCATCCCTCCTCCTCCCTCCCCTGCTCTCCAGGCCACAATCCAGGGCTAAGGGTGGGGTGGCCTGGGGTTGGGGCAGACTCAGCACAGAGCACAAGGAAGCTCCAGGCTCTGGGTCCAGCTCCTCACAAACTAGCAGGGGTCTGAAGGTGGGAGAGACCTTCAGGCCCAACCACTCTGTAGGACTCAATTCTGTCATCCCTGAAATTCAGAGCGTGCTGCTAGCACGGCAGCTCCCCTCTGCCCTAAGTTTCTCAGATGCTGGGAAGCAAGCAGAGAGAGGCCACAACCTACAACCAGGAAAGTCCACTGGACAGCTGGCCCCTGACCTGCCCCGGCACCCTCACACCGAGCCTCCCCCAATGCAGTGGCAGCCCCCATCCTCAAGACTCAGGAGCAAGGAGCCTACGACCTAGACACTGTGAGGCTGGTTTCCAGCAGCACATGGAGAAGGAAGTCAAGAGGCCAGCACCAAAGCAAATACTGACGGCCTTTAAGCCTCCGTTTCCTCCCCCTGTGGGCCCCAGAAGGCTCTGGAGGAGCAGAATGAGCCCAGTGTCAGAGTCTGATGACCTAGTTCAGCCACCAGCGTGGGTCACACCCTACAGCAAGGTTAAGACCAAAACCGTGTAGAATCAAAATGAACGAACTCACAATCTTTCAGCAGGTCTACGACAGCCCATTGTTAATCTAGAAAGAGGACTGTTCTTCGTTGACACCCCCACCCCCATGAAGCCCCTGGCATGTTTCGAACAGCTGAGCAGAATGAGAAAGGCGAGTACAAGGCCAACATGCCATGTGGATGAGGGGTAGCAGAGGAACCGTGTCAGCAGCTTGTTTTAGAGGTCCACACGTGGGGCTGGGCCGGAGGGGGCTGCTGGAGATAGAAACCGGGGGCGGGATCTCTGATTTCTGCAAGGTCCAGGTGGTCCTACCTACAAGGCATCCTAAAATTCGTGCCTTCTTCCCCGGTGGATGCAGGGAGAGGACAATGAGAGGAGTGCCGTGGGGCCCTCAAAGGCTGGGCTGGGCTTCCAGAAGCCCCCTCTCAGAGAAGGACTACATTCCAGACTTGCCTGCCCCTTCCTTTTCTCTCCCAGCCTCTCCCCATCATGCGATCATCAGCACACCCCTCTTTTCCTGCCTCTTTCCACTTCTGGAAGGATCCCAGGGCCCAGGATCATAAAAGCTGATGTGTAAGAACCTGCACGCACTCCCTCTAAAGCTCAGGCAGAGGAGAAACACACACACACACACACACACCCCATCCCCCAAAATGGTCCTCAACAAGGGTCATCCATCTGAGCACATCAACAGGGCAGGTGACGAGGAGCCCCAGCGCAGCGCCGTCCAAAGAAGGAGAGCCCCATGTCATTTGAAATTTGCGAGTAACCCCTTTAAAGACAATAAAAAGCAGCAGGTGATATTAACATCACGCTATCTTTCGTTTCACCCGATATATCCACCATATTACCACCTCAACATGCAATCAGTTTTTAAAAATAATTACTATACTATCGCATTACTCTACGTCTTATCATCCTGGCTAAGTGTTTGGAGCCCACGGCCTGTGCTTGAGGATGAGGTGGCGGGGAACAGGGGGGCGAACGGGACCTGCACACGCTGACGCCAGTGTCTTGCCCACGTGCAGGAGAGCACAGCTACCCTGCTCAGGTGAAGATGACATGCTCTGTCATTCTGGGCTTTAATGTCTCTGCTCTTTGGCCACCTAGACACAGGGCCCCGCCAGGGAGAGCAGCATCTCAAGCTGACTGCCTCCAGGGCAAACTGGGGGCTCAACCCGAGAGGAGGGCCTTCCCCAGAGGGCCAAGCCAGCTTTTCGGGGCCCAGGTGGGGTCGGGGTTTTTCCCGAAGGATCCTGATGCCCCACCTCTCCCTTCGGAGTGCAGCTCCAAGGCGGCTATAAACCACTGTGCAGGGTGTGTGTGAGGGAGGAGAGGTGGGTGCCCCCCGGGAACAGGGTCCTCATCTGGGATGTGGGCAGAGACATCCAGGGTCTGCACCAGCCCGGGGACAGGGATGCAGGGGCTTGAGACACCCCCCGCGAGTAGGGAGCCCAGGCCTCAGTGAGAGCGCAGCGTGACTGTGCGGGCCTCTTACCTTCCTTCAGCATCCCCACTTTGAGGCATTTCATGAAGCGGCAGGCCTGGCAGGACTTGCGCCTCCGTTTCGTGATCTCGCACTCGTTGGTGGCGGGGCAGCTGTACTCGATGTTCCCTGTAACCAGACACACACAGGGTTGCGGGCGGCATCCCGGGCCCCCTCGGCCAAGCACAGGCCGGCCGGGACCTACAACTGCCCCTCGTCCCGAGGTTCCCACAGGGCAGGGGCTCCCAAAGCAGGTGCTCTGAGGCACTTGTCAAAATCTTTCCGCCTTCCTTCAACACAGAGATCCCAGAGTCCTGGGGGTCTGGGTGGGCCTGGCAGCCACAGCTTGGGAGAATGGTCACCCCCAGCTCCGAAGGCACCCCTGAGCTAGCATTTTATCCCAGGCAGAGAACACGCCCTTGTGCTGATCAGGATGTAAGTGCAGACCACCCGTCCCTACGAACTCCAGCCCCAGGCCCCCAGTCAGGGGAAAAGCCTCTGGGAAGTTCTAGCCCCACAGGCCCCAGGCCTCTCAGCCTGCTGACCACGAGGAAATCACTTTCCTCTCGCAGAATCTGTTTCCTCCTCTGCAAAGCCGTGGGCTAGCTCCAACAGGAAAGATTAGCAAGATCACGGTTATGAGATTGCTTTCCCAACTGTAAAACACTGGCACGCCTGGCTGGCTCAGCTGGTGGAACATGAGACTCTTGGGTCTCAGGGTGGTGAGTTCAGGCCCCATGCAGGACGTAAAACTTACTTCAAAAAAAAAAAAAATGGTGTAAAGCACGATTCAACATGGAACTGATGACTGTATAACCACAGTTCATTACTACAGAGGTGCGCTCGTGATCATTTTCTATCTCGTCCCTTGAATGAATTATAGTGACAGCTACCAGGAACCTGACCCACACTCCCACTGTTTACCACTCAGACTCCAGCCGCCCTGAGGTCAGCCCCTGCCATGCAGAAGCCATGCAAGAAAAGCTGGTTGAGTGAGTCACCGTCACCTAGGAATCCTTGGAGCAATCCCACCAAGCAGGTACTGATCCCGCCCCATCCTACAGGAGAGGCTGCGACTGCCTTTCTAACACAGGACAGAGCCTCTGTCCTTCATACCTGTCTACAGTTACTTAACAAATATGCATCGTGCCGCTATCAATGCAAAGAGAAAAGCAACAGGAGGGAAAGGGGGCGCAGAGTAGTTGGAGAGAAAGGCAACTGGAAGGTAAAATCCAAGACAGCGAGCAACCCCAGTGTTTTGTTTTTGTATGGTCTTCCTGGCCACTGTCCCAACTCTGTCCTAACCTCCAAAGCCTGTGGTTTTCAAAGAACACACAAGGAACTAGCGCAAACCTCCTGTCCCCACCCCATTCAGATGCCCAGAAGGCGGTCTGCCCAATCCCCAATCCTGAGGCCCAGGGCCACTCCTTTGAAGCTGGGGTGCTGTTTGGCCCATCTCACACAGCAAGGACACTGCCCTGCACAGAGCAGCCTCAGAAAGGTCACTCCCAGCCTGAGACAAGGCTTGAAAGGGCAGTTGCAGGCCCGCCCGCCGGCCTCTGAATTCGCCTTCCCCCTCTGGCCCCAACCCCACCCCCGCTTTAGCAGTTCAAACAGTCACTTTTACCATGCCCCTGCTCAGGAGTGAGCCCACCCATGCCTCATTTCACAAACCTGAGACCGAGGGAGCCGAAATGAGTTACTCAAGGCCACAGAGTGCCTGCGCCACCCTTGCACCCTACGGGAAGCTTGGGGAGACCAGAGAGGCCCCACCCTGCTGCCGACCCAGTAGCCGAAGTGGTCTGGAGAAGTCAGGGAGGGGGCTGCCTTCTAGTGTCCCTGTGCCTCAGCTTCCCCATGTGGCAGATGGAAAACACTGACTGTTGGATTTTCTGAGAGCCGGTAGGAATCAATTTCTACCCCCAACAAAGTGCTCTCAAGTAGTAAAATTGTTGAACCCCAAGTGCAAGGTCAGTGCTCACAAGAGCTTAGTCAGTAAGCTTAGCCCCTTCCGTATTGGTGAGGAAGCTGCCCATTTGCCTGGGGCACCTTAGATCTCTATCACTTAGTCTCTCCCCATGCCCCTGTGAATTCTAGGCCTCACCATATCATCTTCCTCCCTCCCTCTTCCGGTGGGGGAGAGGAGACTAGAAGTCACGCTCTGTGCTGGAGGGTGGGAGAGGCCAGGAGGGGGAAGGGATAAAGATGCTGCTCGCCCCTCCCCTCTTTTATCCAATGTCGTAGTTCACACTGTCTTTTGTGACTTCTTAGCAACGAGATTCAGTACTCCCATAAGCACAGAGTTGAAAAGATAAACAGGAGGAACAGATATAAACTAATTCATCCAAGTCTATCTTGGCTTGGAAGGAAGGCTCTGTAGAACTGGGCTCCGGCCGCCTTCCCACCCCACGCCTCGACTGAGCAATTCCTGGAACTCAGTGAGGACCGAGGCTTCCAGGCCGCCTTTGTTCCAGTGGCCCAGAACAATCCCAGTGAACTCCCTCCGCCACCTCACCTGGTGGCCTACACCTCCAGGACCCACTTAAGTAGCTGCTGCTTCTCCCTCTCGCCTGTGGGACTCCAGGTGCCTCCACCCATGTGGACAAGGGCTCCTCGTGGAGCAGCCACGGCTCTGCTTTTCCTTTTCCCGACAACTCTGGAGGTGAACGCCTTTTTCCCTCCATCTTATAGCTGAGAGAGGTGAGCAGAGTCCAGCATGAGGCAGAGCGAGGACTTGAACCCAGATGGTCTGGCTCGAGTCTTGCTCCGGACCACTGTGCAGGGAGCTCTCGGGGCCCTTCACCTCCCCTGGTCTCGGCGGCACAGCCAGCCTGTCAGCCCTGGAAGGAGGATGGGTCCCAGGTTTGGCAGGATTGTCGCTCCAGCAGGGGGTCGATAAAAGTCTGTTGATTTGGCACCGGTGCTCTCCCAGGACAAGAGGACTGAGCGTTCACAACAAGAACCTGAGCAACGGTCTCCACCCCGGGTGTGTGTGTGTGTGAGAGAGAGAGAGAGAGAGAGAGAGAGAGAGTTTTAATTTTATTTATTTATTTTTGTCCCTTTCAATTTGCTTTATGGCCCCAGCGGCTGGCTGCCAGCAAAGCCAGTCTGGTGGCCTTGCCTTGTAATTTCTGTAAGTGCCTCCTCGATAAAGTGATGAGATTAATTCATCAGAATTCCTGTGGTCTCTGGAGGGCAGTGTAGGAGCGCTCGGGGAGCAGGGAGGGGCCTCTGTGGTACGTACGGGGACACACACACCCAAACACACACCAGCAGCAGCAGCTGAAGCGGAGCAGTCTTGGAGGTGGGCTCTCAGAGGACAAGGACACAGTCAGTGGCTGGCATAAATCCGGAGTTCTAACACCTGAGTGTGCCCAGCATAGACACAGGCAGACACTACATCAGGCAATTCACCGAACTTCTCTGGGCCCCTTTCCTCATCTGTAAAATGGGCACAGCACATTGCCCCCTTCTAAAGCTGTGTGATACAGGGACAGAACGCACGTAAAGGGCTTAGTGAGGTAAACATGTGGGCAAACAAGGAACCAAGGCCACTGTGCTTGCTTTCAATGCAAGCAGGGCTGCCACTGTGAATTCAGCAGAAGACTCCGGGCTAAGTCTTTCCGAGGTGCCAGACAGGAGGCTAGCCACCCGTTCTGACGTTCAAGAACCTCAAGACCCGTAATGACCTCAGAGTTGGAGTGCCTGCACCTGTGGTGTGGAGGGGAGGCAGGAATGCCTGGAACCCGGCCTGGACTTCCGCAGCACCTCTGACCTCAAGGCAGAGGGGAAATCCCCACCATCAGCTCTCTTTGATCCTGGGCCCCAGAAGGAAACCCTGAGGGCATCCCCATCAGCTGTCCCTGAGCAGCTGCAGGCAGCGGGCAGTCCTTTCTCAGGACTCCGAAGTGGTGCTGCAGAGCTCAGATAGGGCTCCTGGGGGACGCATGTCTCAGAGGCTTCTGGCTAACATCAGAGCCTGAACGACCCCCATTTTAGGTCACTGCTTGGAAGAGCTGGGATGGCAGTCACCTGGTTAAACCCCCCTATTTCTCTCTCTACACAGACTCTCTTTCTCTTCTCTGTGCGGCCCACTGTCCTCCTCAACATACCCTTCCCCTCCTCCTTCCCCGCTGGCTGGCTGATCTCATTCCCGCCACTGGCTCCCACTGACATACTGGGTAAGGATCAGCAGCAAGAGACCCCGCCAGTGCCTCCCTCTACCTCCTGGCTATTTTCACTCAGTCCCTCGGGTTCCTCACACTTCCTCAACGGAACCCATGCGCACCTGGTCTGCTCCTCTCACTGGGGCCACAGCAAGGATCACTAAGCCGCCACATTGTCTAGGTCAAAAATTGAGGCAGCCTGGGTTCTTCCCCCTCCTTCAGTCCTAAGGTCCTTCTCATCGTACTCGATTCATGTCACATCCCTCCCTCCCCTCCGCCCACAGCAAGTACCCACGCTCATCACCTCTTACCTCAGGTCCATGCACTCGCCTTTCTCTCCAGGTCCCATTCCAATTTACCCCCCACACCGCCCCTGGAGCAACGTTAACAACTTTTCTGTGCAAAACTCCTCCATCCTGGCACGCTGAATGGCAGCATGGGAGTGAGAACTGCCGCAGAAAAATGGACAAAGCGAAAAAACCAGGGGGTAGCTAGGGGAGCCTGGTGGAGTTGGTTGTGTCCAATTCTTGATTTTGGCTTGGGTCATGATCTTGGGGTTATGGCGTTGAACCCCTGAGTCAGGCTCTGTGCTGAGCCTGCTTGAGATTCTCTGTCTCTCCCTCTCAACCCCCCAGGTACTCTCTCTTTCAAAAAAAACAACACAAAACAAAAACCAACCAACCAACCAACCAACCCACCCTAAAAAACTAAAGTAGCCAAAGAAGGAGATCTAGCTGACAAAGCATTTGTACTGCAGAACCTCAGAAAGCCTCGGGCATTGAGGACTCAAGATACAGAAGATTTAATGGAGTGTAAAGGCCAGAAACAGGGGAATTTGCTAATCTGTATTTAGGGAGTACTTAGCTACCAAGTACTTGGTAGGGTTGTGGCCACCAAGGAGTGGTCCACAACCCCCCGCAGAGAAGCCAGCTTAATCCCTGGGGAATATGAGAAAGTCAAGTT